TTTCTTTTCATGAGGATCGACAATGATATCTTTCCTAGAAGTCAGGAATGCAACCTAATTGCTTGCGCTGCTGTCTATGAACTTCCTTACCCGTTAATAAGCTTAATTTACTCAGGAAATTGCTTTCTCTGCAACTTCCTTTTCACATTTTTAAAATTCTGCATTTCTAACACCCTGATCAGGTTCTGTCTGTACCCGAGCTTTGTTGTACTCTTTGGCGGAGTTTTTCAAGTTTCTGTATTCCCTTACATCAACTAATATAGACCAGGCTTTTTCAAAGGTATGACGACTGGATGGCATCCTAACGGCTCCCCTGCTTGCGGTCCTACTTGCTATTCCTACCTATCGGTAGGCTCCCTTCTGGCTGCTGTACGTATATGTGTTCCTCGACCTGCAGCCGTTGGCGGGTGTAACCTGGAAAATCGCACGCAGAGTCTCGGCTGCAGCAAAGGAAGGAGGTAAGAAATAGTGGAGGAAAGCTCAAGTCTCATTTCAAATACCCCAAAATTTTGTTAAGCAGCGTGAATGAACGAGTTATGCCTAAGCTTTTGTTATCCATTGAAGTTTATACTGGTGTGTTCGCGTTCGCTCACTCTATTTTCCTTGTAAATAGTCACATCTTCGTCTGGACCATGACACTACTCTTTCAGACGACAAAGGAGGGGTTTCTTTAGTCTATCCAATTTTGGACAGGGAAATATTCTATATTCCCTATAGCAATGATTTGTCTATAAGCTCCCAAATGGATACAGAGCTCCATTCTTTTGGGTATGTCGCAGTACGCCTCTATGTGCGACAAGCCCAAATCAAATATCCGATTGTTTGACAAGCACTTATACCTGTGGACATTTTTGCTGAATTTTTTGTTTACTACCAGGTGCTGGATTGGAGGGAATAAAAATTGAAAGTCCCACTTGACCTCATCGATTGTCTTTCCTGTTCGTATCTGAAACCATTATATGAATGTTGTGGCATAGGTATAACAAAACCATTCATCTGTCTCCTTATTGAGGAACGTACATTAATGTCAGAATAAGGGGCCGGACAAGGCGACGAACTAGCCCGTTAAGTCCACGCTTGGGGTGAATTTGTTACGTTCTGTGCCTGATATGATTTTTTTCCCCCCAAGATCTCATTTTATCCCGTTGGCATGGCTTTTACTAACTCAATTGGCACATAACAGTCCACTCGCTTGTCTCCACCTTCTAATCAGAGAGAGAGTATGGGTACCATCGGCCAGTATAATACATATAGATATATATATTAATCGAACGTACCAGTTTGAGATATGTATACATCGTGCGTTAAGTTATGCAAAGCTATTCAAGTCCCGAAGCCTCAAAAAGCCTCCAACCCGTATTCTCCCAGAATAGCGTTGCTTTTTTTCTTTTTTCTTTTTTTCTTTTTTTTTTTTTTTTTTTGCCCGCCAACGGCAATCCTAACATGCGGACGCTGAGCGCGTCAGCCATTTGAAACCAGGTGCCACAGATACCAGGTGTTCATATGCTAGTATAAAGCCATCGTCGGGCAACGAAATCGGCTCGGGCAGCACAGCCTCGGTCGAATGTAACTCCCGTTACTATCCGCATATGATCTCGAATTGAGATATGGCTGTGTCCAGTAAATAGGGGTACAGAGTCAGATTTTCTAATTTAAAGCCAGAAGAGATATCACAAGACTGAAGGTAGCCAGCGGGAGAACACATCGGTTATTGATCTCTTGTGGATCTATGGGCCCTGTTGCTGTGAGATGCAAGTGTTGATTTGAGGTGGCGGAAGTTAGTTCAAGGGAGAGTTTCATCGGCAGAATCCGCCCGATCCAGAGACATCCTGCGATCAGTCAATGGCCATCGAAATCCAAGCCTCCAACCTGAGACGACCAGGAGCCCGTTAGAGACCTGGTAAAAATCCCCGAAAATCGCGATGTCGAGGGTCAAGGCCAGCTCGGCCTCAACCCACTGCACAGAAAAGAGTAACTAACTCAATAACCCAAATACTGACAAGGAGATAGTTTCAATATTTCATCGTTCGTCGGGCCTAAGGGGGTATGGTGAAGCACCGCCACCGTCAGGTATCTAACATGGATCTTTCCGGTCTATTCACATAAGTGCGGCTTTGATATGCCAACATACTCTGCAGTCTGGAGGCCCAATATATATTTGTCAAGTAGGGGATTTGCAAGGATATGTAACAGAGATCATCAGATGGAGTATTCGATTTTCCAGCTTATGAGCCGTCATAGTCATTTTATCAGAGCTGACATGTTGAAATTCTTTCATCTGTCCGCATGGCAGACGCAATTGAATATATGGCGGCGATCCATATCTTCCCGTCTACCCCCATTAACAATGGAAAATGCACCAAGACATAGCTAGAAAATAGCAAAATTTCCCAAAACCAGGGAGATTCTCGATGTTTTGAATGTTAAATAGGAGGTATCAACATTCATTTTTTAAAGGGGGGTTAGGTGTGCAAACAAGAAGCTTGGTCTGTGCTTAGAGAGATATTCTGGGACTCGGGAGATGGCACCCGTGGGACAGTTTCTTCTGATTGTCAACTAGCATGCTGCTTGCAACCACTGATGGATTCGATAACTGCTATGACATTCCTATACCATCGAGGAGACAGGAGCGGAGAGGGGAGACTTTGATATGTCGGATCTCTGGGGCAACTGAATATCAGGCTCTTGATACAAGAGGTCGGCTGCGGCCAGCAGGCCTATTCAACAGTGGAGAAGAGATTTAGATGACCGGGTCCTGCGTTGTCACAAAGCCTGCATTGGGAGGGAAACGGTCATTTTTAAAAGGTCATGATGCCACAATTATCGCCTCTGAGGCTTAAACTTGGAGCAATGGCTTGAAATAAATCTTGCATTGCAATTGCAGATTTCCTTGTGGTCCCCTCGTGGTACCTGTTTTCGCCTTGCGAGTACTCTTTCTCCTCCACGAAATTGAGCATTGGAGCGGTAGATAGATATTAGTATTGATACTGATAACCTTGCTTCCGATATATCAGGCGATATTCGCCAAAATGATAATATTTCTCTTCCCGGCCATATTTAAGCTCGGGAACGTTGTGATTGACTTCAAGTAAGGGGATTCAAGGACCAAAGCCGAAGCTTGCATGCGCTAGAAATAAATACCAACTAATTGTTCCTTACCAACCTTGAATCGGCCAACCCAAAATACCTTGATACCTCCCTCCTCCAACGCGGAGTGGAAGTATTTGAGGCCTTGGTATTGAGATTTCCAGATAAATATTTCGCAACACTCTCTGCTCTGACACGCTAACCTCACTATCTGTACTGTGGATTGGGATAACCGCGGCATCCAATGGCATCCAATGGCATCCAATGGCAGTTTCCTGCTCTGGAAGTGAAACGCGGGCCGGGCAAGGGCTGGCGCGTAAATAATATTTATCTCGAGGCACAGCCGAAACCAACCCAACCCCTGAACCCGCGGCCTAGCAGGGAGCCAGGCAAGGGCAATCCGGAGTGTAACCTCGCCAGAGCAACATTCAACAATCCATGCGTTCGCCGACGACCTGTTCTTTGCTGATCTTCTTCACTTCAACCCCTCTCTTACAGATATCGCCATCAACGGGTGCTGGCCGTCCCTTCACTTCACTTTTTGCTCTGGCGAATTTCCATTCTAGTTGACTAGTTTATTCCCCGACCGCGTCTACTTTTTCACCAACCAACTGCGATCTGGGCAAGAGCACAAAAAGGTACAATGCGCTGGTTTCAGGGCACCCTCATCTGCACTATTGGCGCTGCACTAGGGCAAAACGGGGTGGGCGCAAATGTTCTGCGGTCAAATATGCAGAGTAATCTAGGTTCGTCGTTGTAGCCCCGTCTGATTCCTTTCTATTTATATATAAGAGAGGACGCGTACTTTGGCAGACACGATCAAAGAACAAAGAGGCGAAGATGCTTATACCACGTTCCCACGCATGTACATACATATATAGTCACAGCCCGTGCGCCAGCGGATGCGCCTTCAGATGGAAACGGCGTATATCCGCCCGAATGCCACGTAGGGCGTGACTCGAAGTATCCATTCTGTCTGCCTAAGAATGAATCTGAAGTGCTTACGGAGCAAATATACTATGGTATGCAAAAGAAGACCCTCTCCGTGATGTAGAGAAAATTTACCAAGTGGAGTCGGGGAGGGCTATACGTGCGGGGCGACACAAGACTATTGTTTAACCATTTAATAAATATAAATAGTTACTTGGGACTCGGACCTCTTCCCGGGAAACTCCACCATCACCATCGGGCTAAATTATGCCAACTCGAGCGAGAATGAAGGTGTCTCCGCCTACACATCCGACCGCACAGAAAACAGCTATGGCTTCGTCACGATACAAATGGACAAGGCCTGGCTGCACGGCGAATTGCGCAATAACCTATCCGTATATCTTGTCGAGTACGACCCTGCATCAAAGGAGAGAGCAAAGACAGTTGCGGGGCCCATAATTTCCCTCACCAATAAGCCTGGCAAGCACTACCCACCGCCACCGCCCACGGCCGTCCCCAACAAGCTGGGCCTCATGATTGGATTGCCGGTTGCTCTGGGTGTGATTTTCGTCGTCTTGCTTGGGCTGTATTTTGGCATGAAAAAGAACAGACGTATCGGGTTAGGGAATATTATGGGATCCAGGGGCAAAGGGTATGGCGGCGGGAAATCCAGGATTGAAAGGTTAGGCGGCGGGCGAGGGAGACGACGTGATCGTGGTGCTGCTGGTGCCGCAAGCGTCAGGCTGGGTGAATTGGACGACGGCGAACAATACACATACACGGATGACCCACGGGGTGGGAAGATCAGGAGTGATGCTGAAATTTTCAATGAGTCTGAGAGAGCCAGAGGGAATGTGTTCAGGGAGGGATTGACGCGGATGAAGAGCTGGAGGTGAAAATATACACCTTCCTGCCTTGGCTCTCTTTTTTTGAATTCTACCCTTCGGGGCCTCCCAGGTTCAAATTAACCACTAGTTGTTCCACAGTTGTCCATCCCTTTTGCTTTGGTTTGGTTTTTCCTCTGTGCTATTTCGAACATCCCGAAATGAGTGCACAGTACATGTACAGTACTTTTGATGTATGATTAGACGACACGTTCTTTCTCACATGGGAATTATTCATGGACTGACAATTAGTTGCTTTGGTGTATTTCTCGTCATTCCCGCATGTAACTTCGTTGTGGGGGTGAGGAAATCGGCGGTGCACGGTGGCGTGCGTTTATTGTGATCAGCCATTATTGGGATGTAAAAGGTGAGGTAAAGGCGAAAGAAAATCTCATTTACAAGCCAACAATCCCACTCGGGGCACAAGGACATCTTGCGGGACTTTCCGATGCTGGGTATATTCCTACTCCTTGGTGACATTGAAGTCATTTAAGACGTTCTTGTTGGTACGAGATTAGCGACAGAAAAAGTCACGCGGGTGGACCAAAGATGTCGAAAGTTTGACAGGCGGTAATGGTTTGGTAACTTGCTTGGGAATTGCCATACAAAATCTTTGAATCTCCGCCACATTTCCCCAGTTTTGCCTCCGTAATTACCGTATTTTTGATGTTTCTTTCCTTGTGCTTTTTTTTCCCCCTTCAGACGAGTCATCGAAATCGAGTTGTTCTGTCCCTCACAACCGTCTCCCCGTCGATTTCTGCTTCCCATCCACATCAAACCTGTTCTCCATACTTTCTTTCTACTTAATCTTAGACCCCTTCCCTCGCTACAATTCCTAGATCTTTAGAATCTACCCAGGACTGTATTGGTCGCTATTATTCCGTCCTTCTCCCTCCCCTCCGCACTCATCAAACCCCGCCAAATCCGTCGCCATGTGCACCTGTTCAGGAGCGTCGGACACAAACGGCCACACAAATGGCGGCCACACCAACGGCCACACCAATCGCCAGACCAATCGCCAGGTCAATGGGACCGGTAAGGCCCTCCCTTTCAAAGAAGAAAAAAGGGAATTGTATACTTCTAAACGCGGACATATCTTGCTGACCTCCTCAAGGAATGGTATCCAAGGACGGCTTCACTGCCGTGCAGACACGCCAAAACCCGCACCCACATGCCTCACGGAATCCATACGGCCACAATGCCGGAATTACAGACTTCCTGAGCAATGTATCGAGATTTAAGATTATCGAGAGTACTCTACGTGAGGGCGAGCAGTTTGCGAATGCCTTCTTTGATACGGAGAAGAAGATTGAGATTGCGAAGGCCTTGGATGATTTTGGTGTAGATTATGTGAGTCATTCATTATCCTTCAAAATTTTTAAGGCCTCTTTTTTTTTTTTTTTTTTTTCCGGATGCTACACTCCCTGGTTGTCTCGGTAGTCTTATTCTTATTATGACTATATCATACTAATCGCAATTGATGCGGTAGATCGAACTTACCAGTCCATGTGCTTCGGAACAATCGAGGAAGGACTGTGAAGCCATTTGCAAGCTTGGATTGAAGGCAAAGGTATGTGGCATACATAAATACTTCGCAGAACAGTTACTTGGGCCTGCGAATCTAGAACTAATCCTCGAATCCATGGTAGATTCTCACGCATATCCGATGCCATATGGATGATGCCCGCGTAGCTGTCGAGACTGGCGTTGATGGAGTGTAAGCATCCCATCCCATCCCCCTTCAAAATACGCTCTTGTACGCAGGCATCCCTCTGACACTACATCAATAGCGACGTTGTCATTGGCACTTCATCATATCTCCGTGAACACTCCCACGGAAAGGATATGACCTACATCAAGGATACTGCGATTGAAGTCATCGAATTCGTCAAGTCCAAGGGCATTGAGATCAGATTCTCGAGTGAAGACTCATTCCGATCAGACCTCGTCGATCTCCTTTCCATCTACTCCGCCGTGGACCAAGTGGGCGTCAACCGCGTCGGCATCGCAGATACCGTCGGCTGCGCCTCACCCCGACAAGTCTACGAACTTGTCCGCGTCTTACGCGGCGTTGTCAATTGCGACATCGAAATCCATCTCCACAACGACACGGGCTGCGCCATCGCCAACGCTTACTGCGCCCTTGAAGCCGGCGCCACGCACGTCGACACTTCCGTCCTCGGAATCGGCGAGCGCAATGGCATCACACCTCTCGGCGGCCTCATGGCGCGCATGATTGCCGCAGACCGAGACTACGTCAAAAGCAAATACAAGCTCGAGAAGATCAAGGATATCGAGGACCTGGTCGCCGAAGCGGTGCAGGTCAACATCCCCTTCAATAACTACATCACGGGCTTCTGCGCTTTCACGCACAAGGCCGGTATCCACGCCAAGGCCATCCTCAACAACCCCAGCACATACGAGATCATCAACCCAGCCGACTTTGGTATGACCCGCTACGTGCACTTCGCCTCGCGCCTGACGGGCTGGAACGCCATCAAGTCGCGCGCGCAGCAGCTGAATATCGAGATGACCGATGCACAGTACAAGGAGTGCACGGCCAGCATTAAGCTGCTGGCAGATATCAGCCCATTGCGGTTGATGATGCGATAGTATCATCCGTGCCTTCCATAGGAATCTCAAGTCCGGCGAGAATAAGCCGCTGTTAGACCTTTCTGCTGCGGAGAAGGAGGCGTTGGCGGAGAAGGAGATGGAGATGGACGGGAAGGAGGGCTGAGGTTTTCCTTGTGTAAGAAAAAAAAAAGGGGGGACTGGGGCGAAGTATAGTTTATTCAGGTACCAGAAAAGAAGGGAAAATCGCAATCACCGTCAAATTCATGAAAAAATAGATAGAAAGGATCTTGGTTTGTTCTGCTGGTTTGGGTTAGGGGAGGGAGGGGTTGGAAAGATAATATCCACCACGTTTTATGATTTTTTGATACATCTCTTGATGATCATTTTGCATTTCCATTTGCATTTCCAATTCATTTCTCTTTTCCCTCTTCCGGACCTCCCTTTTTTTTTTGGCCCCCCTTTTCGGGGCCCCGTGAAACACACGAACGAAGTGTAGTTCGGTGTGGGAAGAGCAGAGTGGCACAATAGGGGTAAAAAGCAAATCTATTAAAAAGAACAGAGCGATTGTTGCTCTCATCCTTCAAAAAGTTCACGTTCCTTTTTTCTTTTTTCAACTAACTAATTCAATTCAGAAAGGGGCTCGCTGTGTTTTCTATTTTCTTTATTATTTTTTTTATTGTTCCCCCCTTTAATCTTTTTTTCTTCTTTTCAAAAGAAAAGAAAAGAAAAATATATTCCCGTTTTTCTCCTTCCCTCCTCGTTTTGCTTTCATTTCTGCCTTATTATTACCAGGTTCCAAGTAAAGAAAGTGGGTGCGTGGGTGTGTGAGAGGGCAATTTTTTTGGACTGAAAGAAAATATATATATATATATATATATGTATACTTCAGTGAGGGAAACCCATGTCTTCTTCATTCACAGAGCAACAAGTTCCAACTTCCATCGTCCAAGCATCATGACATCTCAGAAAAGTTTTAAGCCTTGAAAGGACATCAGTCAGGCTTCTCCTATCCAGGTTTTTCCTTTCTCGCAAAAGATTTTTAAACAGGCATGGAGAGTGATGGAATATCAAATAGGAATGAGAGAGGTGTGCCTCCTACTACGGTTTCTGCTGTACAAAAGCGCCTGATCTCATAGAGATAACCGGTAAACTTTCGGATATTCTCAAGTGACAGCGAAGAGATTTTTGTTTGTTTGTAGCTAGCTAGCTAGCTAGCTAGCTAGAACCAATACTGGAGAAAAGTTCTCTTAAGAACAGAGTTGATTGGCGAAGCACCTGGTGTTTTAATCAATAAGTATAAAAAAATTCTGTAATGGCTTGGAGAGAATGCAATAGAAGGTCTCTTTGTTCCTATCTGGATCTGGACAACGGACAAGTTTTGAAATGCAACTCATGTTACTGCGGTTATGAGGGCGACTGTAGATGTGTTCAATCTGGAATGATAGTACTCCGTGCAGAAATGGGGGGAAAAGAAGAGTTTTGCAAACAATATGTGAGATTCAATTCCTAATCCCCCAACCCTATGCGTTGAGCAAGGGTGAATATAGATATAGATATATCTATCGATCTTC